ATTGGGTTTGATAACAGGAAAACATGGATATAATTTGATAGTAAATAGTCATTTTGTTATCAACGCTTGTTTATCAGTATTTATTTCTATTGTTTTGTTTTTGTTAACAGTGGACACTATATTGTGTACACATGTTCAAGATGGATTTAAATTGAATCGTTTAAAAAAAATTGTTTAAGAATATTATAAAATAAAAACATATATTTTATATAAAAATTTGTTTTCCCTTTGATTTACATTAAATACATAATTTTGCTGACAACTGTCCAGCACCAAGGGGTCACATTTACTGGCATTAAATTTTTTTTACTGCCACTAAATTCTTTAATGTTTGCTGTAAAAAGAGATATTTAAAATAAGTTATTTATTGTTTATTTTATAATACAGAATACAATAGAGGAGAAGGTGGTAGCGGTAATATGAAACCTGGTTTTTATATGGAACCCCTCGATTATTTGGAAACATCCAGTGACATCTATATGTAATGCTCAAAACTATGTTAATATTTACGCATTTACGTCGCAAATCCATTGGTCACATCGTCTGTGCTGTTAGTTTCACTGCATGTGGTCAAAGTATCAACTGTTATTTTCGAAAAGTTTTATTTATGAAGTGTTTTGTCCAGTTTAGTGGTCCCATCTAGTGGTAAGTGAGTTCTGAGTGTTTCAGTAGTTCAACAAAGGCTTTGTTTTTATTGTTTTGTCAATAAAACATCTGTATCGACGTAGTTTAAAAATATAACTTAATTGTTTTCTAAACCATGCTGTTAATATGGACCTCTTGCTGGTATTATGGAACCGGGTTCATCAGTTTCTGATTCCTCTAGTGATGGTCCAGAAATCCGTTTTGTTAGGGAATCCAACTCAAAAGGTCCAACCTGTGTTTCCTGCAATGGAAAATGTTTCGAGGACATAAGAGGTGAACTATGGGTGCAGTGCATCGTGCGAAATGTGGGCTCATTGTGATTGCGCAGACTGCGAAAAGGACTATTACGTTTGTGTTTTTTGTCGATGAATGTACCTATTATTATTATTTTTTTTTTTAGTTAAGAAGCTTCCTCTTATTTTTCATTAACTTAGTATAAATATATTATTATGACAATATGGATCAACTTTTGGGTCCATATTATCAGCACTTTTTCCGCCGAGCGAAAATTGCACTTTGTTCGAAATTTTTTATTTATCTATGAACTCATCTTCAGGATGTTGATTTTCAATTTCAGCATAATCAATAATTAAGCAAAAAACTGGCTGATGTATAATTTTCGTAGAAAAAAACTAAATGGGGTTCCATATTACCACCTTCTCCCTACATAACACGTATCCCAAACGAAAGAAATTTTTCTGGAGGTGCTATTGTCACAAATATTAACGGGCTTATGTGGGAGGTGGTAGCGCTTTTTTTTAAGTAGAATTCATGTGAATTAATTCTTGACCAACTGATTAAGTTTACCGATTTCAAACATAATATGTTTATATTGTGTACCAACCACAAATTATCCAAACAAAAAAATTTACAGTAGTGTACGATATACACAACATCGTTAATCTGGAGCAACTAAACAAGTTCCAGGTTTACTGTTTTTCTTTTTAATTTTGTTAAATCGCGAAATGATTTATCCTTGACAGAATCCACGCCACTGAGTGGGCGCACTATAAATCCAAAGGCCCCATTAATCTCGCTGACATGCACCTTGCCTACAATAAGCCGGATAAAAATGGCAAGGCGTTTTGGCACCATCTACCTGGGCGCGTCGCTTTGCATTTTCAAAATCATCAGACACCTTACTGGCGCACCGAGACGGATTCTGGCAGTTTTAAAATTACACTCGCCACAAAGAAAAACGCGTCGGCCTATTTTTAAGGCGCAAATAAACCTCTTGTAGTTTTATGTTTTGTTTTGATGAGTTCTTGAAATAAACGACCAGGTGAAAGTGTGCTTTATTCTGTTGATGAAGTGTTGACAACTGACCTGCCCCCGTGGAAAGTTAAGTCGGACCAGTCGAAAGGACCATCTGCTGCCGAAGTAAGAACATCTCTGAGGTATTATCAGCTCCAGCGATAGCAGAGCATATTGTTAAAATCCTGACATGAAACAACAATTTAGAGAAATTTAGAAAAAAAAAAAATTGATCGATTGGTACCTATCTGAGTGAACTAGCTAATGACCAAAGCACAGAATATTCACTTTGGGATGCAATAAAGGGATTAAACACACCAATTAAATCAATTCCACCCTGTCGAGAGAAACACGGAATATTCATAAAAAGGAGCTGAGCTGTATGTCGCGCATCTATAATATAATAGTAATAATGACTTAGATAGCCGAAGAAAATAATAGGCTGTTTTGCTATATTCAAATGTGGTTCTTAAATATCATTAAAATAAACTGTTTGATATATTAAACCACTTCCTAGTATTTAAACAATATTTTGTAGTCCATCTAATTAATATTTTAACAAAATGAACAATAATAATTTGAATTTATTTAAATGGAACCTCAAAACGCCGTGATTGGTAAGAACGTCGGTGACGTCATCTGTTTTATTAATGGCCGACGTTCTGTGTAAATCTTATGTGTCATTGTGTTTTTCTTGGTTTTATTCTTTCATCGTTCAATTTATTTATTGATTCTATAGTGGAAATGGCTGGTAGTGGTTTTGTGAAAGCTACTTCTGAAATTTACCAGCTGTAGATGTTTTAATGGTGGCAGAATTTATGAAACGGGACAAAAGGTTCAATATAGCAGAAGTGAGAGGTTCAAAAGCTGCGAAGTAAGTATGCATTTGGTTCTAATATTACTTCATTATTTTATTTAAAAAAATATTAGTATTACAATTAACACCTTTTTTATCCACCTACATAAATAAATAAATGTACCTTAATCTTGGAGATAAACATAACCTACAAAAATGTTGATTATTTCCAGTACTTGGATTTAATTCGAAATGTGATCCGTATTTATACACGGCATTACATGTAGATTGTACTGTAAAAGACCCATTTGTTTATTAACTTACGTTAAAATGATCCTCGCAGCAAAAAAATATGGCCTTTGTTTTGGGTAAATCACGTCTAGCAGCTTTAAACCATTTTATTTTTCGTGGCATTTGTCGCGGCACAGTCACGAAAAGCTTTTTTAGGAGCATTCTTAGATGTATTCTTGCATCCTGGCACAAAACACCACTTATTTTCCATTACAAAATGTTAATTTTTATACAATGTTTACAAGTACACAATCACTTACAATGCAGCTTCCACCATTAATATAACTGATGACGTCACCTGCGCTCGCATTGACCATGTTGGATGACGTACTGTTTTCGCGGCCAATATTTATTACAAAATTAGAACGGCTTGTTTATAGTTATTAGTGCACAAATCGCGAAAATTTAAACAGTTTTAAATATAAAAAATCATAATCTTTAGGATAAAATACATTTAAAAAATTGTGCAAATACCCTATTGAAAGGAAACAACTGGTTCTCCGCCACCAATTGGGATTCCGAAACAAACATGCTACTGTCGATCTAATCCATCAATGTCATAGGAAAAGGCCTGAGATTTTTCTCAATGTGGCTCAGGCTTTTGATGAAGTGTCGCATGAAGAACCTCGCCTAAATCTGGACGCCAAGCTTAAATAAAAAGATCATGTGAAAATCCAAACAGCACAATTCAAACTTAAATAAAAAAAATATGCATTGACTGTTCAGAAGAAATTCCTCATTCAGAATCAAACTACTGGGTCTACCAGCAAGTGCCTGAACCGGTATGTAGCATACGGTCTTTATCTGTTGGTACAACCACACAGATAAAGACCGTATGAAAGCAACCAAAGAAAGCAACTAGACCAAAGAAAGCAACTATATAACTACTTCCCGAACCGAGTACTAAGGTGCTTGGTATATTCGGAACCAAGATCTTTATCGGGTACTCCGCATGAGGACAGTCAAAGAAGAGACTAATTGCCAAGAGCCATGAGGAGAGGCTCCGCCAACATCCAAACGTTGAAGTACCTACTTTAAATCTTGGACTTGGACTTATTGATGCGACGGGTTAAAAGGACCAAACCTTTTGAGCTTGTGTGACAGGTCGGTGAGTAGTAATAGAAGCAGAGTAAAGTGCTGTGTAGCCATGTTAATGTAGTGCAAGGTATGTAACGTAATGCAAGGTATTTTAGGAACTAGAATGGACCACTAGAAAATCCCAGAGTCAGCTAAGTACCAAAGTACCTAGTAGCACAGAATACCCCACTCTGTGCTAGTCGTTTGTGTTAAAAATAATCTTGCCCGAATAATTATTGTGTACCACCGGGTCGGAATATTGAACAGAAATACGCTTTATCCATAATGAATCGTCAATCATCAAAGAACAGAAAGTATTTTAATAGGAGGAAACTTATATCTGTTAGTAACACGTGGAGATTGACATAATTGACATCAACAGGTTCAAGGTAAAGAATGGACAGCCAAGTCTAACAACACCACGGCATATATCTTCAGTATTTATATAATTTTAATGAAAATAAAAACTTTAAATAGTTAGATGTGTTCTTGTCCTTGGTATACTAAACTTGAGAAGATATTTCGTATGTCCTCGGTAGTATAGTGGTCAGTATCCCCGCCTGTCACGCGGGAGACCGGGGTTCGATTCCCCGCCGGGGAGGTTCCTTTTTTTATGAAAATATATTTAAAACGTGGCAGAGTTTACCATAAAATAAATCGGTGATTGTTCATTTTATACCTTTTTTATGTTCCTAGCGCCCAGGGCAGCATATTATTATTTATTACGTCCAAAATATCACGACTATTTATTTACAAGTGGAGAAATGAATATGCGACGAACCTACAAGTCACCTTCTGATTTCCCTGATAGTTACCAATGACTTTGCAGTAGATGGATATAGACTTAACTAAATTTTACAGAATAAATTTATTTATTCTGTAAACTGTGGTCCCTAATTTTATTAAAATTTATGCCGAATCTGGGAAAAAAGTGGTGAGGCCCCGGCGAGATTCGAACTCGCGATCTCCTGTTTACTAGACAGGCGCCTTTTTAACCAACCAAGCCACGGCGCCATCGATAATGTTTTGCCTTTATCGACAACATTAGCGGAACTATATACCTAATGGATGCCATACCGTTTAATTTTATTATTGATGATAACATTACATTATTGTAACATTATTACTGAGAATTAAGACAGTTTAAAATAGGCCTACAGAGCCCTTTAGGAATGTGTAATAAAGTGCACAGTGGCGTAGCTATGCATACGCAATTCGTTTTGGGGCCCCGCAATATTATTAATAATAAAATAATTATTATAATATGCCTATTAACAATATATTTTTTTTATTTGTGAATTTCTTATTATAATAATTGGATTAATAATATATTATATTGCTCTGCCATGCAACCATATTAATTTACAGACAACTATGCCTGGCATACCTAATTAGTGTGAGTGTGTTAACTCACACTAATTATAACTTAAAACAGGTTTAACCTGTTTTCTGAAAGATCCCAAGGGAGTTCTTAATAAATGTTGGTACATCATCATCATATAAACATAAAATTAAATAATGAATCTGAACTCGTCAAAATTAAGGAATATTTTAAAAATGACCTTAAATTTAACCTTTAATATTTTCTGAACTACTACTCGTATACCGATTTCAACGGATTTCAATGATTTTTTTTAAGACAGTTAAAACTCCCTGTGGAGTGTCTTTAGGGTGTTTACCAAAACTCAATTCTAATTACAAATTAGTCCCTTCCTTTTTCAACATTTTGTTTTATGAATAATCTTTTTATCACATTTGTGGGAGAAGATATGCGAATTTTTCTTTTGTAATTTTCTTTGTTATTATTACTACAGACCTACAAAGTAAATACACCACGATGTCCGTCATGCTCGAGGTCATGCTTGGCTTTGGGAACAAAAGTAGATTTGTCATAATTTTACATGCTGCAAATAAGCAGCCAGTATTAGAACTGCCGTTAATTTTTTCTGTAATTCAAAGAACAAAATAGGTATTAAGAAAAGATGGAACTAATTTGTAATTAGTATTGTTTTAAGTTTTAAGTTTCTTGGTAAAATAACACCCTCAACATATTACCCCTATATGTCGTATGTCGACGTAAATGCACCACGAGGCAAATTAGCGCAATTCCCGGATACTTGGAGAACCTAGCTACAATTTAAAAAAAAAAGGTCATTAAAATCGGTAATATAGTTCAGGAAATATTAAAGGTTAAACAGGTAATATTTAAAGTATTCCTTTATTTTGACGGGGATTTTATGTCCCCAGGGCCCCATGTAGCCTAGCTACGCCACTACACAGGGTGAAATCGAGTGAGGTTTTCCTTTTAATATAGCATTTATCTATCAAGAAATGATACAGTATACGAAACAAATGATACTAACAGGGAAATAAAATTTGTAAAAAAACTTACCAACTACGACATTTAAAAATTGTATAGTCCGGTCCTAGTGTCAAGTTGTTATGGAACGGATACAATCATTGATTTTCGCGCAATGTTTTCCATACTTTATGCTGAGAAACGTTCACCTGACGTAGAATTTCAGTACTCGTTGGGATCATCCTCAACAATATCCAAAAACCTCTTCTTCAGCTGCAGCATATGGTAGGGCGTAGGATACTCCGGTGCCATTTTTGTTTAATAACTAAAAGTATTTTGAATGGACATAATTTAATGTTTTTAACACAGTTACAAGAAATTATTCACAATTTTAAACACAACTTTTACACGTTTTCTCCCCCACGCTGAGATGTTTGATCCGACCCTCTGGGACCGAAACGTGTCAAAGTTAGTTTTTTGGAAAAAGTGTCTATAAATGGTGTTAAAAATTGTGGAATTAGCTGTGGCAGTGGTAGAGATCGTCTAACATACCTGTTATAGCACGAGCTAGTGATAGTTGTTGCTAAACAAGAATGGTGCACATATGTATGCTAACAAAGAATTTGTTGATATCTTGTTAATGTAATCGGGGAGTCATCAGGTCGGGATAAAAGTAGCTCGTCGCTACGCAGAACGTTTTCCTAATAGAACCGGACTATACGATTTTTAAATGGCTTATGGGTAAGTTTTTTTACAAGTTTCACTATTCCCGCCGTAGTATCGGCCTTTGTTTCGTATACCTGTATCATTTGCTGGATAGATGAAGGCCATGTTATACAGGGCGGCAACTACTTGTTCGATTTCACCCCTGTATAACATAATAGATAATTTTTCTCGCGGATTTCCAAAGTGTCGAACACTTGAGTTATATATGTCATCCCAAAAACCCTTAATCTCAATTAGGGTATTCGTGAGTGAATGCGAGCGTCCTGGGTATGTCTTGTGTTAAGGGGCGAAGTCATGATAAGGTTGGAGTAGAGGTCATCAAGTAGAGGAGCAGACTGCGGTACATTTGTGAGGGGCCTGCAAAAGTATTTTCATCTCCGAATAATAAAACCGCTTTAAATACAAAAACGTATAGGATGTAAGACAGATTCAAACCCCGCCATTTAGACGGTCGGCTCCTAATTTGAGATTAAGCCGCAATTCGGATGATAGAAGGAGAACAACAAAGGCGGCTGTGCAAATTGAATTCACTCAGAACTAGGTAGGATAAAAATCCGGATCGGAGAACGGGATAAATAAACTTGAACGAGCGGAATTTCAGCCTCACGGCTTTGATTTACCTTTTGATTACCCGATTCCCAACGGTGGCGTCGGGGCGACAGCGCGGAAAACGCTCTGAGGATTCTATCTGCTCCGTCCCGGCTATACATTTATGACGGAATAAAATTAATGCAAATCTGAAGATACACCTTGTTTGTCTGGCGGGGAGTAAGTTGCGTACCTTCTCGTTGGGGCGCGTTTACCTTCCAAGTCAAACAGCGGCGCGGCGTTCCGGAACTTCGTCCGATCTTCAGATATGCAAAGTGTGAACCACTTAAGGGTTAATATAACAACGCGGCACTTTTAATCGGATTTTCCATGTCCGCTGTAATGAAATACATAAACGTTTTGAAAATACACGAGGCCGCGGAATCTTCACACTTCCGCTACACTTTCATAACTCTGTGTATTTTATAAAATTGAGATTCTAATCGCCAATCATGATAATGAATTAAACGTGGAGTTTCAAGGGTGTAAGTAACCCGCTTTCAATTATCTTTTGGTTTTCTAAACTTCTTATACCAATTGTCTTCCTTTTACCCTAAACGGTCTTATCGGGACGCTTCGATAGGGCTTCCCGACTGAACTTTGCCTAACTTCGAGATGACGTACAATTTTAGGACATACAAACAGCCTTTTACCTTGTTCTTTTGAATATTTTGTGGCAGATCATTATAATATACCTTACAATATTCATGGAGATTTATATTATTAGAACCGCTAATTAAAACAAAGCACTGCGTATGTAAATGCGCAGACCAAGACAGGAAATAACTCGCATTCTTCATTTTTTTTAATTATTCGGTTTATCTGGTCTTCATTTTAAGTCAAACGAGCAATATGCCCTGAGAAATTATAATTTCGTCGTGAGAATTACACTTATACTTATTAATAAAAATTAAACCATCAACCAATCTATGTATTTTGGGTCAAGCTAGCCGTGAGGGTAAGTCCACTTGTCTCTCATGGCGGAAAGCTATCGAGGTGAGTCTGAATCGCGCTAGGAACAGATTTTAATACAAAAAAGTCTGATTCCGGTGGGGGGGAACACGGCGTGCATCCGCGTTTGGTTATACGGGTTTATACTATTATTATTATTTCATATCTGAATAAGTATTCCCCGTGACGAAATAAAAAATACATGAAAAATATAATTTAATCTTCAAATTTAGATTCTTTTCTTATTTTTGGCATCTATTAACAATATATTATAAAAAATTTTGTCCACGGCTGTTAAATAATGTATCCATTAAGTATGCGTGTTTCCTCAAAATAATGCTATCCATTATTACCCTAGTGAATAATGATTTCATTATTCAATACTAGTGAATAACGAGGACCGCCAACTAAGTTTATTACAAATCATATTAGTGACTTTTTAAGATTTTAAATGTCAAAATTGTAGCAACCAAAAGAGAAGTCTTGTCTCTATACGTTTTCTAAGAAGAACTACAAATGAGCACTCTAAATCCTACATACTACTGTACGTTCTTTCAAAGCATCAGCTAGGTATTAGCAACAAATACTGGCAATATCAACGTTTTGAAACCATTTATCTACGGACCACATACTTTATTTTATTAGTAAGCGATAAGAATGTGTCAAAGTTTAATTTTGATTTGATTTGAATGGTCAAAATTTGTGTCATATTTACTTCATTTAAGTTTGTTAGCTGTTTAAAATATTGGGATGTCTTAATAAAATGACAAATAGTTCTGATAAATGTCGTTTATTCTAGTAGTTTTTTCCATGAACCTTCGTAAAACAATTAAAACAAACATGGCACCACGCCAAAATTTAACCTCTTTCTGAAATTGAACTTATAAAAATAAATTTTGGTTCATAGTCGTGGACAAAGTTTAGTATTCTACTCGCATATAATGGATACTATTCACTCGGGTGATTTACGACACTCACCTACGGCTCGTGTGGCAAACATCACCCTCGTGAATAACAGCTGTCATTATATGCTTGTTGAATAATATACTCTTTAATATCGACGTCACGAAGACTGATAATGATTGTCGTCTTAAATTGAATGCAGTCCACTGGTGTGAGGTCATAATGTTCCGAACATAACCTTACCTACTGACTAGGGATAAAGCTTATTTATCCACAACCACGTTATAATAGGAGTTTAATCCACATTTATCAAGCATATAAAGTGACCTATTATCCCCTAGTTGAAATAAAGTAACTTTATTCCACTAGTGAAATAATAAAAAATATAGACTTTAACCAATCAAATTTAATTCACTTATTAAAATTAGCATTCATATTAATAGACATTTCGTTCTTCGTTTTTCCATATTTTACTTTAACATTTCTGTTAATAGCAAGCTTGCAGTTGCAATCATTTTTGAACACATTATGGATGTCACATCTTCTG